ACTACTATGACAGCTGCCACTACCACTACCGCTATCAGTACCATTACCACCACTACCAACATCACGAGCACTAGCTTCGGTGTTTACGCTCAGCGGCAACTGCAGAGTCTCAGTGTCGAAAGGCCATGAACCACAGATCATACTATACTATTCTACCATAATATCAAAAAAGGAAGCATAATATGCTATACTGCTATACTGTACTGGAATGAGTAAATATAATGTAATATACTATGCTAGACTATATTATACTATACTATGCTATACTATACCAAACATGAGCCCATTGCATCTCAAAGTGAGCTCACCAAACCTGGGCCAGAACACCCTGGCCACTTTTGAATTCCATGGTGGAGAAGCCGCAGGCTGTATGTACACAAGCATGGCTGGGGGCTCTCGGCACCTCGCTTCACGATTTCTGCGTTGGACTTGCGGGTTTCGAAAAGCTGAATGTACGGCTTACAGACTCCGGCTCTTTCTTTGACATCTCCGAGCTGACCGGGCAGAGGGCTGGCTTCGGGTTACTTCTCTTCCGGTTTGAAGATGCTGGCCATGGCAACCCAATTCTTATGGGGTGTGGTAGCGGTTGCGGTGGTGCCGACGGTGGTGCTATGAAGTAGATCCAAACAACGGAAACCACTGATGCCAACACCCAGTGTCAAATGAACAAGGCCGCAGCATCAGCATCGGCATGATGCATCAGAACTGATGCTTGTGTGCCGTTTGTTCTCCTTGTGACTGGAGTTATCTAGAGTAGCCAGCAGTCGGAACAGACAACGACTCCTGGGCTTGAAGCCATCCGCTTTGAACTAACAGATTTTGTGTTGAAGGTGGAAACAGGTGACGACTCCCCGCAGCAAACCACGAATCCTTTGATCCCCAACGCTACCCGCTACACTGGCAGCCCTGGCGGCTGAAGACTCACCGCAACAGAGTCCCTAAACCCTTTTGCAACAGGCTTTCCACTTCGCCCGGAGTTGGAGCAAGCAGCCCTAGACCCTAAACCCGAAACCCTAAACCCAACAGCGAGGCTGGCTGATGAGCGCCCCAGCCGGCGACACGCTACTGTCCCAAAGCCTAGCAGCTGCCCACCGCTTGCTACAAAGTTCTTATTTTCAACCCTAATATGGGATTTATAGGGACCCTACAAAAAAGTAGGTTTTGGGTTCTTAAGGTAGTTCCTAAGTCCCGGTTCAGTGGGGCTAAGGATAAGGAGAATTGGCCACACGAAACCCGAGGTCTTCGAAACGGTTGAGTTGCAAAGGCCTGCTTGGAACAGATGTTGCTTTAGATCGCGATGGGCAGAGAAGTATCGACGATTCACCAGCAAAAGCCATGATTCTGGCACAGGTTGCTGCCCGATGAGCTCGGCCCGTCTGCTGGGGATTCTTGCGGAGATGTAGACGGCATAAGGCTTCAGTGAACCACCATGTGAACCGCCCAAAGATGCCTAAAGTCCGCTAAGTGTCATCTTCTCTCAAAACCGCGTCGTCTTCGGAATCCCCAGGCGGCACGACGCTGGGTCTTTGTCACTCTCCCGTGGCGACAAAGGGGCGCACCAATCCAAACCACTGGCAGGTCTTCATGACATGTAATCAAAGCGAACAAGCCCATCAAACCGTCTCGTGAGCACCACAGATACGAGAGCGCTCTCATACATTATCACCCTGGTGATGCCAGCAGACCCCCAAAAAAGACACAAACTACCCTGATGACCCCAATGGTGCTAACCAGACTTGCTTAACCCCAATAGTATTAACGACGACGGCGACGAGCACAAGAAGAGGAACAACAAGAAAAACATCATGATCATCAACATGATCGACGACGACGTATGACAAGAATCAGTACGACAGAAGGCAGCAGCAACAGCCAGAACGACATAAACAGCACCAGCAACGGCAAATGCAACTGAAATACACCCATCGATTCACAGCAGCTAAGGGTCCACGACTGAAGGCTCGGGATTTAACATTCAAGCTGTGGGATGCAAGACTAATGTAGCATTCACACCGAAAAAGTTCCAGTATCAGTTTGGCTCTTTTTGCCCTTTGCCACCTTCCAAGTTCAGGGCCCACTTGCAAGAGCCCCTACCTACCCTGAAAGCCACTCCCAGAAACTGAGTTCAAGAGACAACTCGGAACCCGAAATCCTACGTGCCCCTGGCCACGTTGGTGGCTTACCTCCCGTGAGCTAAACTGAAACGCAATCACAATATCAAAGCACGATACAACAAGAACAATCGGAGGAACCACGGCAGGGAGATCGTAACCACTATCATTACTAGTCTTACTCTTAGTGCTACTATTGCTAGTACGATTATTATTCCATCGATAGTGTTACTGCTACTGTTGTCATCAAACAAATATTAATACTTCTAGCAATGTAACCGAAATCGCTCTGTGGCTTGCGCTGGTCAAAGCGTGTCCCGTTGTTTCGCTGGCTCGCAGCTCTAGGCAGGGAGGCTCAAGGCTTGCCACTCGACACCGCTTTGAGGCTTAGGGCTGAGGGGCTTTGAGGGGCTTAGGGTTGTTTAGGATCTAGGGTTTACGGTTCAGGGTCTCGGGTTTAGGGACTGGAGTTGAGGGGTGTAGGGTCTTTAGGGCTTCCCCAAGTCGAACTTATTTTTTGAATCCGTGCCGAAAGGCTTTCGACGGAAGGACTTCCGAAAAGGCCGTGCTCAACACTGCTGAACCTAATCTCATGGAATCTACTGGCCGCTCGGTTTACGAGTCTTTGGTTGGCTCAGGTTTAGAGTGCACCATGCGGTCGCTCCGCCGGGCGAGTTGGAGCTAGGTTGATTCAGGGCTTCGTGGTCCAGGAGGTTCGAGCGAGGCTCCGTAGATTGAAGGGAGGAGTTAGGGTTAGGGTTTAAGGGTTAGGATTTAACATGGTTTAAGGTTGGAGGAGGTTGGAGGGGTTAAGGCGTTCTTGACACTTGGCACTCGGACATACGAACCAAGCACTGTTTCGACTGAAACTCCTGAGGGGTTGCCGCACAGTCTATGCAAGCGACACCCGCAAGCTTAGAGCATGAGGGTTTGGGGTCTTTGGTTTAGGGTTTAGGGCTTAGGGCAGTTGCCTTACACCAGGAACTTTCTTTTTGGTGCGGGGTGTGGCGTGGGAATTACCGTCGTTCAAAGGTTTGAGCGGCTTTGGGTTGAGCCACCCCGGCAGGGTGTATATTACATGCCCAGGACTGGGCCTGCAGGTGTTCATGGAGTTCTGCTTTGGGATGCTCCGGGTGGCAGAGGCTTAAGGTTTAGGGTTGGGATGAAGGTCGTTCCAGATATCGTCTGCTCCACGATCACTTGCGGAGAAGCAGCTACGTCGCCTAGCTACCACGCACATCCCACGGTCTGATCCTTCACCTTCATGCACACGGTGTTCGAGGAAAGCAAAGCTTCTGACGCCTCCTTACTCTTCCCTTTCTTGCCCGGGCGTTAAGCACCAGTGCTACACCGCTGCTGTTGTTGGTAAGCTGTCCAGTGCCCGCGCACAGTAATTGGAAAGTACCGGCTCGGGCTTTCAACGGGCACCGCACTCCATGTAGGAAGTCTACACGCAATTATAATCTGAGCTGAGCTTTCGGGCCGAAGTCAGGAAACTCGCCAACACCCCCTTCTGGAACTTGAGACGCCCAAATCCCAAACCCCAATCTCCAAAGACACGTCCAGAGAGCCCAATACCCCCTTAATTAAGGAATATACCTCAAATCATAGTATTAAGGCCCCTATAATTTAAGACTAAGTTAAGCTATCTTCCTTACTTAAGGCGTATTGGGGCTCTCTGGGCGCTTTGAAAGACCGCCCTTGCGCCTGACGGCGTCCGCCGGTCCGCCTTGTCCCTGGAGACGTCCGGCTTCCGGCTTTCGGGGTTTAGGGTTTAGGGTTTAGGGTTTAGGGTTTAGGCGTGCTTTGGGTTTCGGAGAAGTGGAAAAAGGGGCTTTCAAATCGCCGTTCGGAGCTTCAGTTCCACAGAAGAAGCAGCTGCAAAAAGTAGTCGTCGTCGTCCTGCTCCTCCTCCGCCTCCTCGTCGTCGTCGTGCTGCTGCAACTACTGCGACCACTACCACCACCCTCACTCCTACACTACTCGCGCCAAACAATCGGAAGCTCTCTTGCAGATTCAAGCGTAAGGAAAAGCAGCCGCGAGACTTAGGTTTGGGATTTTACTTTAGGGTTTCGCTCACACTCGGACACTCCAGGCGATATTAGGGTTTAGGGTTTAGAGTTTAGTTTTTGCTGGTTGACGCAGCTTAGAGCTTGAGGTTCCTCCTGCATTTGGCCAACGACAGCTGGTGCAAGACAAGCCCACGACCGGCTGACAATAGTCATTCGCTCCAAACCCTAAATCCGAAGCTGACAAACGGGGAGCTCTCTAAATTAGGGTCCCACTTTAGGTCCCCAATATAGTACGGCACCCTTATAAAAAGAACCCTAAAAGGGACCCTAATTCAGAGAACTACCCAAATGGCTGGCGTTCCGCCTCGGCGGGCACCGCGGCGCTCGGAGGCTTGGGTACGCTTCGGTGGCCTGGAAGAGGCAGCGAATGGGAACGCTTCGTGGGGGTTGGGAGATAGGGGTGGAGGGCATGAGGATTCTTGATTTAAGGTTGAGGGCTTCGGGCCCGGAGTACCAAAGCTTCAACCAAAACGGTTTAGGGCTGAGGGTTTAGAGTTTCAGGATTCACAACTGGGACGAAGCCTGGGTCTAGGGTTAGAGGCTGTTCGTCAGGTCATAAGCTGTCCACTCTTACGCAATCGCAACATTCGACCTCGTCTAGATCCTGACCCTTTTCCCACGCCACGGGCTTGGTTCTGGACCACCGGCCCGCTATTCCTTTTGCAACTCTAAGCTGCACCGCGGGCCCTAAAACCGTCAACTGCTTAGGGCTCCTTTATTAGCGCTATTATGGTTCCTTTGAGGTCTCCTTTAAGCAAAAGTCCCCCGTCCGAATGCGGCAAACTGAAATCCTGAAGCCAAAACGTGAGTCGCCGACGTCACGTATGCAGAAAGGAATGCAGAGGAGGCCGGAAATCGTCGAATCCACTCAGTGCCTGGAGAGACTGAGGGCACTGTCGGGGGCAAGCCATGGGAGGTTCGAACAACGAAATGATGCAACACCATCCGGCTTCATTGATCGGACTCCACCGCTCACTGCCCCACGACCTTCCGTGACCAACGAAAACGGATCTTACGGTCTTGATTCGGACTCCGTACATCATGCGACATACTTGCATGCAACACAACGGGAACAAACTATGTGAGTGGTAATAGTTAGTAATGGTCCTCCATAGTCGCTCTATAACTGTTTAGCTATGCAGCATGCCGCAAAAAAACATGGTTCTTAAGGACTCTGATAGTTATAGATCCCTTCTAGAACCCCCGAAAAGATCTGCTAAAGGAGCCCCACTCTGCTTACTGAGGCCCCTATATGGCCACACTACTCAACCCACAGGAACCTACAACACCCTTATAAATCAAAAAAAAAGTGTCAAACCCTTATGAGACCCGATGACCCCTAACCCTAAACCTAAACTCTATGACACTAAAGAACCGTCCAGCCACATTCGCCACCAGTGCGCTGCCAGCAGAGGCGGCCCAGGGACGCCGATGTCAAACGTCCATTGCCTCAGACGAGCTTGGGCTCATAGGGTTTAGGGTTTAGTGTTTAGGGCTTAGGGTTGAAGGCCTTTCCGCCCAATTGCCCTCAAGCCCATTCACTTTGCAGCTGTGGGGCCACATGTCCAATGACCCTCCTCGTCGCGCTGAACCTGTGTCGCAACCCTCAACCCTACATCTAATGTAGGTGCCATCATCATCTGAAGGCCACGGAGTCCTAAACCCTAAACGCTAAACCCTAAACCCTAAACCCTAAACCCTAAAACCCTAAACCCTAGACTATCATTGCTCTACAACTATTCGGGACCAGGGACCCCAAGACTCCCCTGAAGCCTTATGGACCTCAGCCCAGCCTTATGAGTCTTATACACCTTCCAGGGATCCTTTAAGGGATCCTTCAAGGAATCCGTTCGGAGGTTTTGGGATACGGAAATCTCGCTTCAGAAAGCCGGCCAAGTGGGCCGAGATGACTATTCTCGCCTGCCGAAGCCGTGAACATGTGCAAGCGCCGACACTTCCGGGTCTCCAGCCTCAGGTTGATCTGGAGGCCGTCACAGCTTTGCACTGACCATCACTTCAGCTGACTCTGCGACGAACGCGAAGCAGAGGGCTATCTGTACAGTAGCATTCCGAAAAACGTTCTGACTCCTATCTTAGGAGGCCTTGTTTGAAACTGTTATAGGATCCTCTCCAGAACTCGATTTTGGGATCCTGCTGGAAATCTTGCAGAACCCTTAGAGGAACAAACCCTACGCCCAATGCCCTCAGCCCTAAGCCCTAAACCCCAAAGCCCTAGA